GCAAATGGTAATAATTTACCTATAAAAAATATTGGTGATATTTTCATTAATTCTCCTTCCAAGCCTCTCCATTTAAGATCTGTTTATCATGTACCGCAAATTAAATATAATTTATTATCCATACAAAAAATGTGTTCTAACAATAATTGCATGGTGATTTTTGACAAAAATTATGTTTTCCTAAAGGACAAAACAACGGGGGTAATTCTTCTTCAGGCTTCCAGTAGTGGCAGTCTTTACCCAATTCGTTTGTCTTCACCTCCAGTTTTTGCTCTTGCTTCTAGCGCGGCACCTGGACCATTATGGCACTGCCGTTTGGGAAACTGTGGCACTAGAGTTTTAGATGGTCTTAGGTCAACTTAGTAGTCTTTCATTTTTAATCATGATTGTATCTCGTGTCGATTGGGAAAGTCTCATAGATTACCCTTTCAGGATGTTTTTCATACTTATAGTACTCCGTTATTTTTAATACATTCAGATGTTTGGCAATCACCTGTGTTATTTAAATATTATGTCTCTTTTATTAATGATTACTCCTGTTTTACATGGATATATCTCATGCGTCGTAAAAGTGAAGTCTTTACTCATTTTCAATCATTTAAAAGACTGGTGGAAAATTTGTTGAATTATAAAATTAAAATTTTTCAAAGTGACGGAGGGGGTGAGTTTGATAATTTCAGTATGCGATCATTTTTTTATACTCATGGCATTCTTTTTCGAAAATCATGTCCCAACACCCCGCAACAAAATGGTTTAGCTGAACGCAAACACCGTCATCTTATTGAACTTGCACGTACAATGCTTATTGATGCTGGTTTACCAGCTATTTTTTTGGGTTGAAGTTGTTTTGACTGCTACTTATATTATAAATTGCTTACCCTCCACTAAGTTTTCTGGAGTTTCTTCATACCAAAAGCTATTTCACCGGTCTCCTGACTTCTCTTTTATGCGTGTGTTTGGATGTGCTTGTTACCCCAATTTTTCTGTCACTCCTGCCAACAAACTTTCTCCCCGTTCCCTACAATGTGTCTTTTTAGGGTATGCGTCTGAATATAATGGGTATAGGTGTCTTGATCCTAAAAAGGGCAGAATATATGTCAGTCGTCATGTCCGGTTTCATGAAAATATTTTTCCATACACTCAATTAGTGTCTCAAAGTTCTCCTGAGTCATCACCCTTACAACCCTGTCCTCTGTCTTTTTCCATGTCATCTCCGTTGACTTCGCTCCTGGACAACCGCTGCCACCGCTGCTTTCTCCGCCTCCCGTCGAACTCTCCACACCGTCGAGCAGCTCCCAGCAGTCTGGTATTCTCTCGGACCAGCACATTGTCTCTCCGGTGTACCACACTCCCGCCTCGTCGCCAGGGGTGTTGCGTCATCTCTGGCATCGCCAGTTAGCATGGATTCGACCGAATCCCGGGCTCCTGCGCATGATGCTGACGACGACACACCAGCTTCCACGAATTCTTTAACCCATAATATTCATCCCATACAAACTCGCTCCAAGTCAGGAATTTTTAAACCCAAAACAATTTTTAATTTAAATACTGAGTTTTTAATTCCTTATCCTACTTGTTTTTCTGTGGCTAATAAAGATCTTAAATGGAGAGCTGCTATGGCTGAAGAATTTAATGCGCTTATTGCTAATAACACGTGAGAATTAGTGTCATTTACTTCTGGTAAAAATGTGCTTGGATCTAAATAGATTTATAAAACTAAATATCGATCTGATGGCTCTATTGAACGACATAAAACACGTCTGGTTGCTCAGCGGTTTAAGGAGCAGGTTGGGGTTGTTTTTTCTGAAACTTTTAGTCCTGTTGTTAAACCCACCACCGTTCGTATTGTTCTTACCTTAGTTGTTTCCTATGGTTGGCCCATGCGTCAACTAGATGTTAAAAAAGTGTTTCTTCATGGTCATTTAACCGAGGAGGTCTATATGCGTCAATCACCCGGATTTATTCATCCACAGTTCCTCATCACATTTGTCATTTGCGCAAGGCTATTTATGGTCTTAAACAAGCTCCACGAGCCTAGTTTTATCGTTTCAGTAGTTTTCTATTAATCCATGGTTTTGTTTGCAGTCGTGCTGATAATTCTCTGTTTATTTTTCGTCATGACAATCACATTATTTATTTGCTATTATATGTGGATGACATCATCGTTACTGGAAATTCCTCCTCTCTCATTAGTAAGTTTATTTCTCTTTTAGGGAATTCTTTTGCATTGAAAGATCCTGTTGATCTCCATTTTTTCTTAGGAGTTCAGGTTGTGCGAAATTCCTCTGGTTTATTTTTATCTCAAGCCAAATATGTGTCAGACCTTCTTACCAGATTTCATCTTCATACCCTTAAGTCTATTCGCACACCACTTCCAAATAGAACTAAGTTGTCTCTCACTGATGGTGAGTTACTAGCTGATCCTACAGAGTACCGTAACATGGTAGGTGCCTTGCGTATTTGACTATGACTAGACCTGATATTACATATGTTGTTCACTTGGTGTCCCAATTTATGCATGCTCCTCGTACTTCACATATGTTGGCTGTGAAAAGAATTTTCAAGTATCTGCAGGGCACTCTCATGCATGGCCTTCATCTACGGCCTTCAGCACATTCTCATTTTGTTCTTGCGTACTCTGATACTGACTGAGCTGGTTGTCCTGATAGTAGCCGCTCCACTTCTGGCTATGCTATATTTCTGGGTCTTAATCTGATCTCTTGGCGCTCTAAGAAGCAACCCATTATCTCCGGATCGTCTACTGAAGTTGAGTATCGAGCCATTGCATACTTTGTCCAGGATACTCTACACATTCGGTCTATACTGTTTGAGCTTGGCTTTCTTTTCTATTCATCGTCCAGTTCAGCTCCTCTGTGACAATATTTCGGCATCATATTTATCTGCTAATCCCATTCAACATGCTCGTAGTAAGCACATTGACATTGACTATCATTTTGTTCGAGAGCGTGTGGCTCATAGTGATCTTCTGGTCCAATATGTTCCTACGAAGTTTCACTTAGCTGATATTTTCACAAAGAGTTTGGCTCCTCAGCAGTTTTTATTCTTACGTGACAATCTATGCGTAGTTCCTCCTGCATAGCTTGAGGGGGTGTAATAGTGTAGATTAATTAGCATTAATTATTAGGCAGTATCCTAATTGTATTCAGAGGGTCTGACTGATCTGCTCGGGGTGGAGTTGGCTGGGAAAGATGAGAGGTATTTGGGGTTACCGACTCTGGTTGGGAGAGGGAAGACTGAAATTTTGAGTTATATTAGACAAAGGGTGGTTAATCGTATCCATAACTGGAACAATAAATTCTTGTCAAAAGCGGGGCGGGAGGTTCTTTTAAAATCTGTTATCCAAGCTATGCCTACCTACGCTATGAATGTTTTTTTACTGCCCAATGAATTATGTAGAGAGATTGAAGTTTTAATGAACGGTTACTGGTGGAAGGGTAAGTCTGGGAAAGGCATCCGTTGGAAGGATTGGGCTTCTTTAAGTAAACCAAAAAAGAACGGGGGAATGGGGTTTAGGAGGTTACGGGAGTTCAATCTAGCTATGTTAGCTAAACAAGCTTGGAGAATTTTTACTAACCCCGGGTCGCTGGTTAGTAGAGTTTTTAAGGCCCGCTACTATCCTAAAAGGGATTTTTTGTCTGCCTCCCTGGGTTATAATCCCTCATTTATTTGGAGGAGTTTGTTTGAGACCCAAAAAATTATTAAAGGGGGTTATAAATGGAGGGTAGGGGATGGTAAATCTATTAATATTTGGGAAGATCCTTGGTTACCTGATAGGGAGAATCCTAAGGTTACTTCTGATGTTGGTTTGGGGTTGGAACAAGCGGTGGTTGCAAATTTAATGGACGAATCGGGGAAGACGTGGGATATGGATGTACTGAGGGATTTGTTTGACAGCAGGGATTTGGGTCTGATTCAGAGCATCCCGATTAGCATTCGGCCGGTGTCAGATGTACCCTGTTGGAGGTGGGAAGAAGACGGTCGATTTTCGGTTAGGAGCTGCTATCGAAATTTAATTGGCGAATTTTGTTCTACGGGGGGGATGGAGTGGACTGTTATGTGGTCTTGGAATCTTCCTCCAAAAATTAAATCCTTTTTCTGGCAGGTGTGCAGCGGGTGTCTCCCGACGAAGAAGAACTTGCGTTCTCGCCGAGTGGACTGTTCAGATCAGTGTGGTTTGTGTGGTACTTTAGGGGAATCTTTGTCTCACATTTTTTTGGACTGTATTGTAGCAAAGCAAGCTTGGTCGAAGATTGCGTGGAGATGGACTAATTCTGATGCCATTCACTTCTTGGAGCAGGTGCAGCAAGAATTTCAGCTTCGGAGGAAGAAGGATTTGATGAAAATGATTTGGGGCTGTTGGGGGATTTGGTGCGAGAGGAATCATCGAATCTGGCAGAACACTTCCTCTTTACCGCAGCAGTTTATGCTCAAAGCGGAAGCTTTCGTGGTTGGATGGCAGCAGGTACAATCAGCCCGAGGGGGAGGTCGGTCGGGGAGGCAGCCCTCTGTTATTGCTTGGCGTTGTCCTGCAGCGGGGAGGGTGAAACTTAACACGGATGCTGCTGTCCGTACAGACTCCTGTGGGTTCGGGTGGTGCTTACGAGATGAAGAGGGCAGGTTCGTGGCAGGGGCTGCTCAACCGTGGTTTGGGAGTTTATCGCCGTTGGAAGCTGAATTAATGGGGATTAGAGAAGCTCTTAGATGGCTGCAGAATTTGGAGTGGCCCAATGTTGATGTTGAATCCGATATATCCCGTGTCATTTCAGAGATCATTAATGGCTCTAACTGCTCTTCTATTGGATTAATTGCTGAAGATATAAGAGATATTGCGAATCGTTTTTCTAGTATTTCGTTTTCTCATGTTGGGCGATCAGCGAATAAGCTAGCTCATACCATTGCTAGAGCTGCTTGTTCTGTGTCTGATTTGCATTCTTGGTTTTATACTCCTCCATCCTTTATTCTCTCTGTATTGGACAATGATTTGATCAATGCTAGTTAAATCTTTTTATTGCAAAAAAAAAAAAAGAGTAAATTACTCATATATATTTGACGTGATATAAAGGCATGGTTATTGTAATTCAAGAAGATGGTATGTGTTAGTGAAATCCCCCTTTCAATATATGTCTTCAGATCAACATGCAGCTTATTGAATCTGATCAGGCATGAGGAGGTTCAAAGTTTTGATTGATGTAAAACCACCGTCAACCACCAGATTCTGTCCGCTGACATACTTGGCATCGTCGGAGGCCAAATAAACAGCGGCGTGGGCAATGTCACTAGGTTCACAACGAGCTCCTTCCAGCACCCCGGACTTGTGTAACATTCTGGCAAGCACCTGATCATCGATGTCGGGGAAGTATTCCTTCATTTCCGGTATCGAAAAGGCCGTTGGAATGGCGTAAGGCGAAATGCAGTTCACCCGAATCCCGTGCTTGCATAGTTCAGCTGTGGCAGATTTCATTATTCCGATGACAGAGGACTTGGATATGCTATATGTGTGTTGTGCTAATCCTCCCATTACCTGTTAATTTAATTATCCACGTAAGTGATATGGCAGATTTCAACTTGATGGTTATCCTCTATGAAGAGGACAATCTCTCGGGAAAGAGTATGTTTCCGTTTCGAAAATTCATTGAAAACTCACTACTTAACATAAAATTACGTACCCCTGTCACGCTGGCCGTGCACAATATGGAGCCCGAACGGCGTGGGATCATCACGCGGGCAGCGTGCTTGATCCCCGCCACCACGCTGTGAACGTTGATCGACATCACACGGTCAAACTCTGTCATGTCCAAGTCAACAATGCTAAATGGGGTCCGGCACGGAATGCCAGCATTGTTGTACATGATGTCGAGTTTACCATGGCAAGACACTGCGAAATCCACGGCGGAGGAGATGTCGGATTCTTCGGAGACGTCACAGGCTATGAAGGCAGCGTTTTCTCCGAGCTCCGTGGCAGTATCTCTGCCCAACTGCTCTTGGATGTCTGCAATGACGACTTTAGCGCCATTGCTGATGAATTTGGTTGCAGTTGCTTTCCCAATACCAGATGCGGCTCCAGTAATCAAGGCTACCTTACCTTCAAGCTTCCTTCATCCATTAATTAAACCGGCAGGTTTAGATTTAAAATTATAAAGCATGGAAAATCTCAGAAAATATATTCAAATTTACATGTTTTTGTAATTTGTTAAAATAGAAATGATGTGCAAAATAAAGTTACTACGCAGTTGACCATTAATATCTTTCTTTCCTTATTAGTAAAAAAATTAAAAAATTCAGATTTTGAAAATTTAAAAAGAGAGGAATTTAAATATATTTTTTAAAAATTTAATTTATTATACATTAATAAATAAAATATAGTCAAAGTAGAACATGTGAATAGTGTAAAAAGTCCAACGTTACAATTAAAAGAGAACGGAGGTAGTATTAATTATTGGGAAGCAGAATTGAATGAGGTTTTAAAATGAAAAAGATAGATTGTTTTTTAGAAATGAATGAATTATATTATGAAATACCAATGGTAAAACTATATTGAATAATATATTGTTATATTCTGTTTTAAAATTAAAATATGTGTGTGTATGTACACACATATAAATTGAGATATTTTGTAACATATTATTAAAATAAAATTTTCTAATAGAAATGTAACTATAGTTGTGCTAAATGCGCATATGTTACTGTATAAAATTGCATATAATCACAATCATTAGAAAAGCTGTTACTTAATCACTACACATAAAAAAACACATTTTTGTTCAGTATCATTATTATCTTAGCCATAAAACCATCTACAAGTAAATCAATAAATAAATATCAACAGTAAGAACTGCTAGATCTAATTAACCACTCGCCTCTCTGATGGGATAGAGAATTTCCTGTTAAATGCATGTAAAAGGAATGATCTTGAGATTGAGAGCTCCCTGTAAAGAAATTGTTGACAAAATGAGCTGTTAAGTAAGATTTCAATAAATGTAAAGCTGAAAAATACAAAACTTATCATCGTGATCTGCTCATTTCATAGATGCTGAAATACCATTGATGGTCCTCACATCATTACTTTTATAAATAAGTAAATAAAATTATGACAGTAAAAGCATATAAGAAGTGAACAAACCTTGGAATGAGCTTGAACATGTTCTTTTCTTGCTTTCTGTCTGCTAAATTGGTGATAAAGTATCAATTTGGTAGAGAAAGAAGATGAAGTTTTGTGAGTCTGACTTATTACAATGTGGATAGTTATTCATGAGGACTTCCACACTGCCCGAACAGTTAACTGAGATGAGGTAAGTTGGACTTTAATCACAGGCTCGTAAATAGCGAGTGAGATTCTAGCCAAGACAATTATACCACTTACCTCCCAAAAAGATTTAAGTAATTGATAATTGTGTGGTTGAAAGTTGTGCATATGAGAAAGGAGAATAAAATGTTGTGAGCCAAAAGTTCTTTTTCAATAACAAACACAAGTTTACTTTGGAAGAATAAAAAAAGTTTGAAAAATTAATATAGGACAAACTTTAAAAGAAAAAATAATAATAAATTGCCCTTGAATTGTGATGTCACAACTCATAAGTCATAAGAGATCACTATTCTTTTCTTTTACTTACCTTCAATCTAGGCAGCCATTCCAGCCAATGTGTTGACATCTATTGACCAAGCCGTACTTACTGTTTGTCTATCACCTTTATAAGTTTTTTAAGAATACAGAAAAATAATACTACCTTCATTAAGAAAAAAGTTTGACATATTAACTTTTCTTAATCAATGATTTCAAACTTTGGACAATAATTTTAATTATTATATTTATATAATTTATAAATTTATACTTTTATGAAATAGTTTGAGTAAGGAACATGTTGATGTAATTTTCACATTAAATTTTATGAAATAATTTCGCATTAAAAAAATTGATGAATTAACCAAGAAAACTAGATTTGATGAATTTTTTTATGATGAAGAGCGTAAATGTAAGTGAGAGATGTATAAATCCAGGATTATACTCAAAATAAAGAATTTGTTTTCGCACCCTGCATTTTTTATATTTTAAGTTGTTATTTAATACATTAAAAAAAGTATTGATATGACTTGGGACTACATTAAATAATGGAAACAAAAAGTAACTTAAACCTATTTAGTAACACTTAAATAGGCTTATTCAGCTGAAATTGATGGAGTTCAGACTGAATTGGCTGAGGATGTTTTTACTTGAAATGTTTTCGGTCCCAGATCATACCAGACCTGACTTAAACAGACAACACCAACAAAAAATTATATTTGATGAAAAAGATAAAAATATCTTGAATATGTTGAATTGTGAAAATATATATTTAAAATATTATCTTCGCTCTACTAACAATGGGACAAGAGAGAGTCACACACAAAACAATAAAAAGTGGTTTGTGTGGTTGATATTGAATTGATAAAGTAAGAATAAAGTAAGAATGATTTAGAGTCACACAAACTTTATCAAATTTGGTACGTGACAATCTAAGTGAAACGGATCGAAAAGGTAAACTGGGATAATCTTAGCGGAACGGAGAGAGTATATTTTATTAATAAAATAATAGAAAAAATAGTAGTTACTTCAACCTTGGTGATTTTGATTATTAAATATTCAGTAACCGAAATCAAAAACATATTTGATGAAAAAGATAATTGATAAGACTAATAAAACGAAAAATATGTTTATCCACTTCCTAGTTTTTGCAAGACATTGACTTAAAATCGAGTAGCATTTATTTATAGATAAAACACGAATGAAATGCGGCCAAATTGAAAAATATTCGTTAAAAGAGGTAGATTAGATACCCAAACATTTTTCATTGCTGCAAGCCCAATCCACAGCGCCGGCCGCACAACATTGCCGCCGCTATACTGTGAAGCTTACTTGAGCGGTGACTTGCCGCCGTGCGAGAAGGCCTTCAACGCCCACGCCTCCTGGCCTCCTCTACCGTATAGAACAAAGAGCAAAGCTGTAATTAAGTTCTCGGCGACACCGCTCCCAAGCCACTAAATTCCTCTCTGCTCCCAAATGTTACTGGCATTTTTTTTATCTAATCGGGGACATGTTGACCTCCAATAAAAGAGTATATGTCACTGTCGAGCTTGTGGGTGGGTGTACTTGTGTTTGGCTATCCTTTTTTCAACTTATTTGCGTGTTTTTTTAAGTTTTTGGTTTTCCGCGACAAATTATGTAATAAGCTAATAAAGTAAGGTTGACGTTACTTTTGTGATTGTATTGGCTAAAATTACTGTAGATTCATTTGAACTATTTTTTCATATAATTTTTTATTTATTAATAACAAATATTTTAAATATAATTTTTTTATGAATTCAGCATAATCAGCCAATAAAGCAACTTCAACCAGAACTTCATAAATTTCAGCAGAATCAGTCAATTCAACCAATTTTAATGTTACCAAATGGGCTCACAATGTATAAAAAAATGATAGAGAGATGAGAGATCTATCACTGTTCGAATAATGTTTTTTAAATTAAATCGATCCAAATCTTGGATCATGGAGTCTCTATTCTCTACGTCCTACCTAAGGGTCCAAACGAGCTGAGCCGAGTTCGAACATGGGTAAGCTTGAACTTGAGCTTGATAAGAATTCACAAGCTCGACCTCAAGTTTGGATGAATTAAGTAATTCGGGCATGATCTTGAGTCGAGCTCGGTTCGAGCTCAATTCAAGCTCGAGTCAACTTTTGCTAATTACTCCATCCGTCCTATTTAAAGGTTCTCAGGCGATTTATGATAAGTTAATTGATCCCTCATTAATAAGATGAGAGATTTTCCAAAATATGAGTAAATGAATATTGGAATTCCAAAATAAGACTACTACATTTTTATTCCCGAAATAGGACTAACATGACAGTATTTACTGTCATCTTGTATGCGTGACTGCCAAACAATTGCAGTAAAGTGCATTTAACATGACACTATTTATTATAATTAATGACAGTATTTTTCAATTATTACAATATTTTTTCATACATGGCATTAACAACTCCTATTTCGGGAAAAAAATATAGTGGTCCTATTTTGAAATTCCAAACCTCATTTACTCCTATTTAGGGCAATTTCCCATAAGATTATTTTTAGTAAGTAAAATTTACATATTCACAAACTACATTAAGAGTTTATAATAATAGTCATATTATAATAGGACTTCTTCTGTATTTAGAACACTATTGCCGAGATAGCTCTCGCTCTACTACAGGTTTTGCTGTCTTCTTGGGTCCTAAACTTGTATCTTGGAAGTCCAAGAAGCAGCCTACAGTCTCCAAATCATCTACAGAGGTGGAATATCGAGCCATTGCTTACAGTGTACAAGACACTTTGCATATCCGATCCATTCTTTTTGAGCTCGGCTTCCCTATACGTGACCCAGTTCAGTTGTTGTGTGATAATATCTCTGCTTCATATCTTACTGCTAATCCTGATGGAGTATATGGCTCGGGAACCCCCGGTCCACAGACTCATACTACTCCAATAAAGGCCCAATAGGCCCAGGAAACACAACAGGCCCAAATCACGGCGCCCAGAGTACCAAGCAGCCCACAAAGCGCACCAGGGGTGCCTTCGGCCCCCTGGCCGAAGGCTCTAACTTTCACAGGAGGGTCAAAACAGGAAAACAAAGTTACTGGGAAAAACGGCGAAAATCAGTAGCCCTCGGCAACTGGAGCCCTCGGCGCTAAGGGGGTCCCTGGCACTCAGAGCCCTCGGCTAGTCATCTACAGCCGAGGGCACCTTTTCCGACATAATATCCGCTCCACATGCGTATGGATCACCGTACCCGGTACAACGTCTCATCCAACAGCCGCATTAAATGCGGCCACATGCGGTTGCCAGCGCCAGCTAGCTGAGGTGACCTCTCGGCCAATGGACGCTTGACACGTGTCCCTGTCTGGCATTTATTGCTACTATAAATAGAGCCCCATTTCCCCATTTGTAACCAAGTCTCAAGACGTTGAAAACGCTGAATACATTCTCTAATATACTCTCTCTCTCTACTTACTTGCTCTGTCTTCTCTCTAGTTATTCCTCGTAATAACCCCTCGGATAAGCTACCCCCCGGGTACACTATCCATCATTTGGTGCTCTCGTTGAGAGGTCGAACAATCAAGTAAGAAACCCTCCCCCTCGACCAAACACAGAACACCCAGCTAAAATGGTGAGAACAACTCGTGCCAACTCCAAGAATGTAGAGGACAGGAACCTGGCCCTCGGCGAGGTCGACGTCCCCGAAGCCTCTAACAGGGCTCCCGGGGGGGGGGGGGGCGTCATCACCGGGTTGGACCAGACGGCTGTCGACCTATGCCAGTAGATTCAACAAAATGCCCCCGATGCCCGCCTCGGCATCGAGGCCAAGAAAAAGGACCGGAGCGAGAATCAAATTAGCCCTCCGGTCATCACAATCAGCGTGCAATCGGCGCTCTCCACCTTCATCCAGACGCTCACCCAGAACCCGGGTGCCTTCGGCACTTTGGTTCCCCACCAACCTCAGGTCGGGGAGAATATTATGCCTCCCCCTCATCCACGACCCCTCGGTAACCCGGTCCTCCGGATGGGGAACTCCGAGGGGGTTGTGGCCCAAGATACGGCCTCCCAGGAAGTCCAGTCCCGGGACCGCCACAATGTGAACAAAGAACAACTCCGGACTTCCGCCCTCGAGAGACTCGGACGGGCGCAAGACCGCCGAGGGGTCCAAGACCGCCGAGGGGTCCAAGACCGCCGAGGGGTCCAAGACCGCCTCGGGGGAAGGTGTTCCAGAGGCCTCAGGAAAGTGGCGGGTCCGTCTCCAGGGCCAATGAAAGGCGTCCCCCTCAGGACAAAGGCAAGGCACCTCTCCATGCCGACGACGCACGCCACCAAATCAACCAGGCCCACTCGGCTCGGGTCCATTCGCAGGGGGCGGAGGCCCTCCCGAAGGACCCCCGGAACGAGATCATTGCGGCCCTCTAGCGCCGGCTTGACGAGATGGAGGCCACCAAAGCACACGCCGCCACTTCTGCCCCTCATGCAGACCTCAAGTATGAGGCAATGTTGGCCAAGATGGAGGAAATGCAGAAGAGAATAGCCGAGGGCTCCGGGGAACCCACCGTACAGGTCCGGACCCAGACGCCATTTACCCCGAGGGTATTGGCGGCCCATCATGCCCTATGACGGAAAGACTGACCCCCAAGAGCACTACAACAGGTATCAAAATCGTATGATGATGGTGGGGGCATCAGATGAAGATTTGTGCCGCTGGTTCCTGTCCACCTTAGAGGGGCCGGCTTACGAATGGTTCAATCGATTGCCCGAGGGCTGCATTGACTCATGGAAAGAACTTGCCCAACTATTCTTGACGCAATTTGCGGGAAGGCGCCGCACAAGAAAACACTTCTCCCACTTGCTAACAGTGAGGCAGAAGAAGGAGGAGACCCTTCGGGACTTCCTGGAGCGCCGGAGGACGGAGGCTGATAAAGTTGATGGCGCTGACGACGGGACCCTCCTGGCCCTCTTACAAATAGTACTCCGCCCCGAGAACTTCTCAAGAAGCCTCATCATCGAATCCCCCCGCGATTATATAAGGGCCCTACAGCGGGGGGGATCGGTACGCCGAAACCGAGGAGGTGGAGAGATGCCACCACGTCCCAGACCAGCAACGCCCTCGGTCAGACGACAAAGGTAACCGGGGTCCGGGGGCTCCCCGTAATCATCCCAAGGATTCTGCCCCCTCCGGTGATCGCCCCCGGCATGGCCAAGCCAAGCCCGAGGGAGGCTACAAGGGGAACCCGAGGGCTTGGGCTCAGCCTGTCCTCCTGGAGCACCCTCGGACACCTTTGACGCACCCCGTCAGCGTCATTCTTGATTTTGCTGAGGAGAGGGGCCTAGTGGAGCGAGATTCACGCGCACCCCCGGAGGTATTTGCCATCAACCCGAACTACCCCTACTGTCGCTTCCACCGACACCAGGGGCACAGGACCGATGACTGCCATCAGCTGAAGACGGCCATCGAAAGATGGATACAAGCGGGCCATCTGTCCCGGTTTATCCAGGGCCCTCAGCAACAAGGCCCCCCTCATCAGGGGCCACCCCGAGGGCAAACTGCGAGAGCAAACGCATGGGTCAACCCCAACACCATCTCCCTCGGCAAAAAGAGGGAGATTGGAAATCTGGAGGAGGAGGAGGAGGAGTACCCCCGGTACCAAGAAAAGAAACGCCACATCCTCATGATCACGGGGGGAAATACCAGGGGTGATTCCACGAGTCAACGAAAGAAGTGGGCTCAATCACTTTACGTGGGGGAAGTCACTCATATGCCCCCAGTAAAGCGGCTGAGGGAGGAACCCATTATCTTCACTAACGCTGATCTCCCACCAGTATCCTCCGCACAGAGATCAACGACACTATTATTCACAGAACTTACATTGACAGGGGCAGCTCCGTCAATGTAATGTACCTCAGCACCTTCAGAGAGCTGCATATGGAGAGGGGGTCCCTTCGGCCCATCAAGACCCCTCTTGCCGGCTTCACCGGCGACACCATTGATTCCGAGGGGGTCATAACCCTCCCGGTAATCTTCGGCGACGGCCTACATAGAGCCAAGCTCGAAGTGGAGTTCGTCGTCGTCAACATCGACTGCGCCCACAACATCATCCTCGGCCGGCCAGCCCTCGAGGACCTCGAAGCCGTCATCTCCATGAGGCACCTCTGCCTCAAATTCCCAGCCGAGGGGGGAATCGGTTACTCAAGGGGGAACCAAAAGCTTGCCCGCGCTTGCTACCTTCAAGTGACAAAGAGGATTAGCAAGACGGAGTTCCGCGTTGACACCATCACCGGAACTGTAGAAGCGGAGGACAGGAGGCTGAGGGCTGAACCAGCCGAGGAGGTAGAAGACTTCGCGCTCGATCTGGCCAAGCCGGAGAGAGTCGTGAAGATTGGAGCCAAGCTCCCCGAAGACCTGAAGACCGGCATCATCAACGCCCTCCGCGCCTACTCCATTGTTTTTGCATGGGGGCCGGAGGACATGCCGGGGATCAGCCGAAGGGTCATCACCCACCGCCTCTCGGTGGACCCTTCGGCCAAACCAGTACAGCAGCGGAGGAGACCCCTCTCAGCCGAGA